TTTTTTTTTTTTTTTTTTTTTTTTTGTGTTAGTAAAAAGGTGGAGAATCGACTAGTAAGTAGTAATTATTCATGGACGTGACCATTAGAGTCTCGCTTATTGTGCAATGTCTGATCTAAATTATAATTACTAACCTAATAGGACAACTCATTATCACGTCACTATCGAAATCAAGCAGTAAACTGTATTGCTTCCATGAATTGAAGCCTGTTTGATAACTACATAAAAAATTAAGGATAACCATAAACAAGTGTAGCTTACCACTAATATCTGATAGTGCATGTCTTAGAGCATCTCCAATTATAATTTAAATTTAAATTTGAGTAAAAAAACTCAAAAAATTTGTTCCAACCTTTGATTCAAACTTATACCAAATCAAGGGAAACTCAAATCATTATCTAAAATTTTAATAGTAAGATTTTATCATCTTTTAAAGATCCAATTGTCATATTTACTCTTTTTTAAATTTAGTTTTGTCCTCATTTAAATTTGAGTTTATCTATTAGAGTCATTTGTATCAAATCAAATTTCTTAGCCAAATATTAATTTAAATTTGAATCATAGTTTAATATTTTTAGTCTTACAACTTAACCAGAGTCGTCTAAACCATTAAAAGTTTCAAACTGCCTAACTAAAAGACAATTTTACGTGGTTTTTTTCACAGGTTTTAGGCAAGTTTTGCAACCAACTTATCTACGTAACTGCGAGGATGGTGACCAATTCAAACTGGTAGGTTGGCCACATTATAGTATACATATCGATTAAGAATGACTGTGACATTTCGATACGGTTTCACATTCTGTGTAAATCATGCATCACGTCAATATTTTTTTATTTTAATATGGTCACATGCCTTGTATAAATGGCGTGTCTCACTCGGCTTGTGGATTACATAGAGAAGTTTTAGTCAACTCGGTTGATATCCACGTCATCATCGTTGACCAATGTATCAAGTGAACCAACCTAACCGCATAGAGATATGATATAAATGTCATCTGATATTTAACTCTAACTCGGACTCAGACTCGGACTCGAACTCGAACTCGGACTCCGACCACACGGCTTATGCACCTTAATACCCTTGAATTCGATGATAAATGTCACGGCATTCAATCATAACTTCTCATCGATGTCACCCTCCATAGTTGGTACACCAACAATAATTGCAGAAGCTGGAACTTGGAAGCATGACGTCCAACATATGACGCTTGAAGATGACGGCAGTAATGTGACAAGTAGTTCCATATACCTGAAGTGTTATTTGAAAAATTGGTGAAAGTGGTTGAACTGTACTTTGCATTTGGTGCGAAGTCGGTATGCATTTGCACCACAAGAAAGCTTATTATTTGAAACAACGTTCATAACGTGTGACATTAATCTTGGTAATATTTTAAGAGACCATAGTCATGATAAATACATAAGTAACTGTTGAAGTAATATTCACGGATAAATTAATTTAGATATTCTTGATCTTTAAATCAAAAAAAAAAATAATAATACTCATGGATAAAGTTTGCAAAAAAGATAAACGTAAGCAAACTTTAACACCTTAATAATTAAAAAAAATAAAATAAATACAGCTTTGATATTTTGGTACTTAGAGTTGAGATCATTCACCACCTCACATTTAAGATCCCCACTGATTAAGGTCGTAATGGTGGCCACAGAGTTCAGGTGTTATGGGAATGGTTCTTTCTCTCGTTTTCTCTCTCTTAAATTCACTGATTTGTGCTGACTAGCTTGGATCGCAGCATAGTATTTAAATTGTTGGAATTGATATCGAGATGGATTGGACTGTTTAAATGAGTTGAATTTTTTGGAACTATTTTCACATATATGAATTTCTAAACATCCATCTCCGATCAAGAATGATTGCTCAAAATAAAGTCATGCGACGACCATGGTGAATTTCAAGCAAATTCTTTCATTTAGGACCTGAGAAAAGTGTTTTTGTTGTTATTGATAATATTTTGTAGTTAGAATAATTTTATTGTCTTAAGTCAGCATTGATCGTAGTTAATTCTACCTTAATTCAGACAATTAGTAGTTTTTAGTAGTATANAGCATATGACGCTTGAAGATGACGGCAGTAATGTGACAAGTAGTTCCATATACCTGAAGTGTTATTTGAAAAATTGGTGAAAGTGGTTGAACTGTACTTTGCATTTGGTGCGAAGTCGGTATGCATTTGCACNAACATATGACGCTTGAAGATGACGGCAGTAATGTGACAAGTAGTTCCATATACCTGAAGTGTTATTTGAAAAATTAGTGAAAGTGGTTGAACTGTACTTTGCATTTGGTGCGAAGTCGGTATGCATTTGCACCACAAGAAAGCTTATTATTTGAAACAACGTTCATAACGTGTGACATTAATCTTGGTAATATTTTAAGAGACCATAGTCATGATAAATACATAAGTAACTGTTGAAGTAATATTCACGGATAAATTAATTTAGATATTCTCGGTCTTTAAATCAAAAAAAATAATAATAATACTCATAGATAAAGTTTGCAAAAAAGATAAACGTAAGCGAACTTTAACACCTTAATAATTAAAAAAATTAAAATAAATACAGCTTTGATATTTTGGTACTTAGAGTTGAGATCATTCACCACCTCACATTTAAGATCCCCACTGATTAAGGTCGTAATGGTGGCCACAGAGTTCAGGTGTTATGGGAATGGTTCTTTCTCTCGTTTTCTCTCTCTTAAATTCACTGATTTGTGCTGACTAGCTTGGATCGCAGCATAGTATTTAAATTGTTGGAATTGATATCGAGATGGATTGGACTGTTTAAATGAGTTGAATTTTTTGGAACTATTTTCACATATATGAATTTCTAAACATCCATCTCCGATCAAGAATGATTGCTCAAAATAAAGTCATGCGACGACCATGGTGAATTTCAAGCAAATTCTTTCATTTAGGACCTGAGAAAAGTGTTTTTGTTGTTATTGATAATATTTTGTAGTTAGAATAATTTTATTGTCTTAAGTCAGCATTGATCGTAGTTAATTCTACCTTAATTCAGACAATTAGTAGTTTTTAGTAGTATATTTAGTTTAAAAAATTTCTTTTTTTGGCAAAATTTGTATTAATGAGTTAATTACGCGATTAACGATAATTAAGTCACGTTTGGTTATTTTCTAATTAGTTTTAAGGTTTTATTACTATTTAAACTCTTGTAATTTTTAGGAATAAGCAGTTGTAGATTATTGAATACAATTGAGAGAGTTGCCTCTTTTTTCCCAAATTATTCTGGTATTCTTAGGAATCAACAAAGTTATTGAAACATTTAGAATCGATATTATTTGTGAATCAAAAGACCTAAAGTAAGAATGTAAACCGATATTTATACACAAATTAACATTTTATTTTCATTATCCTTTTTGTTCCTTATACCCTCTTTCTACTTACTTCCCTGCATCAACTACGGTACCGAAAGAAAAAATTCAGTATACTTCCAAAATTTATTATTTTAATGGGTGTTTTTTTATAATTTTTGTGGGTCATTTTATAACCAAAAAAATTATTACTTTTGTGTGTGTTTTTACCACTGTTCTGATAACTATTTTTACCACTTTTTTTTGGTACAAAAAATTACCATTTTTGTGGGTATTTTTTCCAATTTGTGATTAAAAATATCAAAAAATGTTGGTACAAAACAGATTTTTTTTTTTCCGATAATGTAGACAACTCCTTTAAATCTTAATCTCTCTCTACTCCTTGTCCCCATTTAACACATGGATTTTAATTATAAGTATAAATCTAGTTGTATAGTGTTATAGTTGCGTCGTTCCATTTTATGTTTGTGTTGTATTTGTATGATTTTTGTGTTAATAAAAAAATTATTCAATTATGGTATAATTAATGGGATATTAAATCAAGCAAACAAATGTAGAAGAAATTTATATATATTTCTTATAATATTAGTTAAATGAGTTGTGCATATCTAACTATTTGGTATTTGCTTGTATTTGGTATCACGTTGGTTACATTATGTGGCCTATAAATGAAGATCATGTGGAAACTAAATTGCAGTGAGCAACCAAAACCAGATGGAGGGAGAAAAATATGGAGGCCATGTACTAGTGCTCCCATATCCAGGCCAAGGCCACATAAACCCTCTTCTCCAATTTGCTAAACGCCTAGCCTCCAAAGGTGTCAAAGCTACACTAGCCACAACCCATTACACTGTCAAATCCATTTGTGCACCCAAAGTTGGGGTCGAGTCCATCTCCGATGGGTTCGACCAGGGTGGCTTCGCTCAGGCTCGAAACGAGGATGTATACCTAAAATCATTCAGAGAGAATGGCTCAAGAACTCTATCTGAGCTCATCCAGAAGTACAAAAACTCAAGCTCCCCAGTAAATTGTGTGGTCTATGATTCATTTCTACCATGGGCTCTTGATGTTGCTAAGCAAAATAGCATATTTGGAGCAGCATTTTTCACGAACTCAGCCACTGTTTGTGCTATTTTCTGTCGCATACACCATGGTTTGTTGAGTTTGCCTGTGAAGATTGAAGATACACCCATGATGATTCCTGGTCTGCCTCCTTTGAACTTTCCTGATCTGCCAAGCTTTCTGAAAGCACCTGAAAGTTACCCTGCTTACCTGAAAATGAAATTGAGTCAGTTCTCTAATTTGGATCAGGCTGATTGGATTTTTGGCAACACCTTTGAGACATTAGAAAGCGAGGTATGTATATCATGTTCATTGTCATTAAAATTTCAGTAATTCTACACTGATCAAATTTTAAGACCAAATTTAGAACGTAAATGACATGACAGCTGACTTGACATTCTTTATTTGGTGTCATGTGATTTAGACCCCAATGAAGATTCTAAATAATATGTTGTCATGTTATTTGAGTTCTAAATTTGGTCCCAAAATTTAGTNGGTCAAGAATGATTGTTCAAAATAAACTCATGCGACGACCATGGTGAATTTCAAGCAAATTCTTTCATTTAGGACTTGAGAAACGTGTTTTTGTTGTTATTGATAATATTTTGTAGTTAGAATAATTTTATTGTCTTAAGTCAGAATTGATCGTAGTTAATTCTACCTTAATTCAGACAATTAGTAGTTTTTAGTAGTATATTTAGTTTAAAAANTCATTTTTCAATTATATCATTTTGGTCTCTGAAGTATTGAGTATGTTTCTATGTAGTTTCTTAAACAGACAACGTCTAAATTATTAATAATTTTTATTATAAACTTATCACGTGATACTTAAATATGAGCAAAAAAAATAATATAAATAACTTTTGACCAAAATTTGGGTAGATCTTAACAAAAAATGTGTAATTTTAGTAGCTCTTTGACTTTATAATTAAAAATTATTAATAATCTAGACGTTGTCTACTTGATGTACTATATATAAACATATTTAATACTTCTTAAACTAAAATGATGCAATTAAAATATTTGNAAAAATTATTAATAATCTAGACGTTGTCTACTTGATGTACTATATATAAACATATTTAATACTTCTTAAACTAAAATGATGCAATTAAAATATTTGAGATTAAAATGAGATAAATCTTATATTTTGAGGACAGCTGGTGTAATTAATTCAAAAACTAAGTATAGCGACAAAATTAGATTTTCGCGGCTATAAAATTTACCAACTCAAGCTGGGTGAAGAACTTTGTGATTGTGCTAGCTGGGGATGAAGAAAATGGTTCAAGTGAGGAGTTACCGCTACACGAGATGAAAGTGGTTCTCAGCCCCCATACATTTCTTTCTTGTAGTTATTACCCGAACATGCACAAGTGTGACACATACACCAATTGAACAACGAAATTTTTGTGGCGGAAGATTTTTACCGACGAAAAATTACACTTTTAGGGATGACTTTTTTTGTTGCTAAAAACAACTAATTCCCTGTGGTGGTGCAATTTGTTTTGTGATTTTGACTTAGTGAATTTTGTTCATCATAAACTTTTAGAGCTAATATTGTTTTTATTGCTGGACTAAAGGCGGTAGAAAGTGTATCAGAGCTATGGCCAGGAGAGTTGATCGGGCCAATGGTCCCATCGGCATACTTGGATGACCGGATTGATGGAGACAAAGGATATGGAGCAAGTCTGTGGAAGCCACTCGGCGAGGAGTGCATCAAATGGCTAAAAACAAAGTCATCCAAATCGGTGGTCTACGTCTCGTTCGGTAGCATGGTCTCCTTGACAGCAGATCAGATGGAAGAGCTGGCATGGGGTTTGAAAGTTAGTGATATGTATTTTCTTTGGGTAGTAAAAGAGTCCGAGAGAGGTAAGTTACCTGATGAATTCATAAACTCAACAAAAGACCGGGGTCTAACAGTGACGTGGTGCAACCAACTAGAAATACTAGCTCACGAAGCCATTGGTTGCTTTGTGACGCATTGTGGGTGGAATTCAACTCTTGAAGGGTTGAGTCTTGGCATGCCGATGGTAGGAGTGCCACAATGGGCTGATCAGTTGACTAATGGTAAGTTCATAGAAGAAATTTGGGGAGTGGGTGTTAGAGCCAAGGAGGATGAGAATGGAATTGTGAGGAGAGAAGAGCTTGTTTCATGCTTGAAGGAAGTAATGGAAGGGGAGAGAAGTCATGAGGTTAGAAGAAATGCCAGTGTATGGAGGAAGCTGGCTAAAGAAGCAATTAGTGAAGGAGGAAGCTCTGATAAGTGCATTAACAAATTTGTTGAGCATTTAAATGGTACTAAGAAGGAAGGCCAGGTTCTAAATGGTCATCATTAGCCCCAAATTGTGCTTGCGTTACTGAGTTCTTTTTTGTTGTTGTTGTTGTTGTGTCTGTGTGTGNCTAGCAACTCTCCTGTCTATTGTATACAAGATCAATGTATACATTGTTATATTTGAGTGTGTATGTGTGTGTTTGATAGAGAGAGAACGAGAAAGAGAGAGGTGGGTTTCAGGGGATTTCGGGGGTGTTGGGTTTTAGGGGGTGGTGGGTTTTGCTGGCTGGCTGGCTGGTGGATTTTGGTGGTGAGTAATGTTTCGGTTTGGGTTTTGGGTGTGGGTGGTTGGCGGTGCTGTTGGAGTATAAATTTTCGGTATAATATCAAACATATTTTTTATTTTTGTTTTCATAAATTTTGTAAATATAAATGACTATCAAATATGTTTTAAATTTTTATTTTTTATTACAAAAAAACAAAAACTAGTTTTATTTTTTTTTTATAAAAAAATATATATAAAAACAAAAATGTTACCAAATGTACCATAATATGACAAGTTATATGTTGGCGTGAATCTTTTTACCGAACTCATGTGATTTAAAAAAATAATTTTTAAAATAAGATAATTTTAAAACTATTTCTCGAACTCACATAATTTTTAAAAATATTAATTAAATTGACATTTTTAACTTAAAAACGTCGTAGTGTTTTTAAATTTNTTAATTAAATTGACATTTTTAACTTAAAAACGTCGTAGTGTTTTTAAATTTCATTTATTGGGCTTCATTTGCTTTTCCTTTTTCTTTTTCCGTAAAAAGGCATCAACTTCCATTCTTAAGCTGCAATCCACTCTTCCTTTCAAAACCGCAATCAATGCTTCCATTCTATTTTTAAAAATGGGTTCGTCATCTTTTCTCTTGGGACCTAGAAAGAAATTGGCATGTCACATCAATGTTTTAAAAAAATTATAAAGCTTGTGTTTTTGTATACGATCACTTGGTCCGGAAAAAGACATGACTGGGAAAAGAGTTATGTATGATACCATCCATATTGTTGGGGTCCAGTCCAGAGAGTCACTTATCACAGGAGTCCATCNCCATGGGCTCTTGATGTTGCTAAGCAAAATAGCATATTTGGAGCAGCATTTTTCACTAACTCAGCCACTGTTTGTGCTATTTTCTGTCGCATACACCATGGTTTTTTGAGTTTGCCTGTGAAGATTGAAGATACACCCATGATGATTCCCGGTCTGCCTCCTTTGAACTTTCCTGATCTGCCAAGCTTTCTGAAAGCACCTGAAAGTTACCCTGCTTACTTGAAAATGAAATTGAGTCAGTTCTCTAATTTGGATCAGGCTGATTGGATTTTTGGCAACACCTTTGAGACATTAGAAGGCGAGGTATGTATATCATGTTCATTGTCATTAAAATTTCAGTAATACTACATTGATCAAATTTTAAGACCAAATTTAGAGCGTAAATGACATGACAGCTGACTTGACATTCTTTATTTGGTGTCATGTGATTTAGACCCCAATGAAGACTCTAAATAATATGTTGTCATGTTATTTGAGTTCTAAATTTGGTCCCAAAATTTAGTCAGCATAACATTATTGTTTAAATTTTTGGCCAACAGCCTTGGAATCATATATTTTATTACTTTGTCCAGTTTTAGAGGTTGGTGCCCACGAAAAACGTTAACTTTAAGAGACTAGGAAAAATTAAGGATTAATTGCTCTGGAGTCCCTAAAATATAGAATTTATCTCATTTTGATATTTCATTTTTCAATTATATCATTTTGGTCTCTGAAGTATTGAATATGTTTCTATGTGGTCTCTCAAACAGACAACGTCTAAATTATTAATAATTTTTATTATAAACTTATCACGTGATACTTAAATATAAGCAAAAAAAATAATATAAATAACTTTTGACCAAAATTTGGGTAGATCTTGACAAAAAATGTGTAATTTTAGTAGCTCTTTGACTTTATAATTAAAAATTATTAATAATCTAGACGTTGTCTACTTGATATACCATATATAAACATATTTAATACTTCTTAAACTAAAATGATGCAATTAAAATATTTGAGATTAAAATGAGATAAATCTTATATTTTGAGGACAGCTGGTGTAATTTATTCAAAAACTAAGTATAGCGACAAAATTAGATTTTCGCGGCTATAAAATTTACCAACTCAAGCTGGGTGAAGAACTTTGTGATTGTGCTAGCTGGGGATGAAGAAAATGGTTCAAGTGAGGAGTTACCGCTACACGAGATGAAAGTGGTTCTCAGCCCCCATACATTTCTTCCTTGTAGTTATTACCCGAATATGCACAAGTGTGACACATACACCAATTGAACAACGAAATTTTTGTGGCGGAGGATTTTTACCGACGAAAAATTACACTTTTAGGGATGACTTTTTTTGTTGCTAAAAACAACTAATTCCCTGTGGTGGTGCAATTTGTTTTGTGATTTTGACTTAGTGAATTTTGTTCATCATAAACTTTTAGAGCTAATATTGTTTTTATTGCTGGACTAAAGGCGGTAGAAAGTGTATCAGAGCTATGGCCAGGAGAGTTGATCGGGCCAATGGTCCCATCGGCATACTTGGATGACCGGATTGATGGAGACAAAGGATATGGAGCAAGTCTGTGGAAGCCACTCGGCGAGGAGTGCATCAAATGGCTAAAAACAAAGTCATCCAAATCGGTGGTCTACGTCTCGTTCGGTAGCATGGTCTCCTTGACAGCAGATCAGATGGAAGAGCTGGCATGGGGTTTGAAAGTTAGTGATATGTATTTTCTTTGGGTAGTAAAAGAGTCCGAGAGAGGTAAGTTACCTGATGAATTCATAAACTCAACAAAAGACCGGGGTCTAACAGTGACGTGGTGCAACCAACTAGAAATACTAGCTCACGAAGCCATTGGTTGCTTTGTGACGCATTGTGGGTGGAATTCAACTCTTGAAGGGTTGAGTCTTGGCATGCCGATGGTAGGAGTGCCACAATGGGCTGATCAGTTGACTGATGGTAAGTTCATAGAAGAAATTTGGGGAGTGGGTGTTAGAGCCAAGGAGGATGAGAATGGAATTGTGAGGAGAGAAGAGTTTGTTTCATGCTTGAAGGAAGTAATGGAAGGGGAGAGAAGTCATGAGGTTAGAAGAAATGCCAGTGTATGGAGGAAGCTGGCTAAAGAAGCAATTAGTGAAGGAGGAAGCTCTGATAAGTGCATTAACAAATTTGTTGAGCATTTAAATGGTACTAAGAAGGAAGGCCAGGTTCTAAATGGTCATCATTAGCCCCAAATTGTGCTTGCGTTACTGAGTT